TTAGAAAACCTTCCTCACTGTCTATTATGTCACCAATTTTGGTGATGTCTGCCAACTAACCAACTTGCCTTCTATATGCTCATCCAAATCATTTATATAAATGAAAACAAAAGAGGACCCAGACCCAATCCCTGTGGAACACCGCTGGTCACAGGCCTCCAGTTCAAAACGCAACCCTCCACCATTACTCTTTGTCTCCTGCCATTAAGCCAATTATGTATCCAATTGGCAAGCTCACCCTAAATCCCATGTGACCTAACTTTACTAATTAATCTACCATGCCAATAAACATAAGTGTGTATATGTGCCCCATATGTGCATGCATAATTGGCAAGAGAACAATGGACAACATAAAGGAAGCAGTTTTCTAACTTAGTGATTTAATATGATTTGGAGTACACTATCTGAAATGGTGAGGAAAACAGATTCACTGTAACTTCCATAAGGTAATTTTGATAAATTCTTGAAGGAGAAAATTTTACAGGTAGATTGTTATCGATGGAAAAGACTAATCCAATGTGATTGCACTGGCTTCCCATCATGCACAATCTGTGACAAGAAGTTCATGGAAAACCCAGACCTAAAACTCTCTTCGCCCATCTGCCCCTGTTCACACTGACCTGGCTCTCATGCTGCCAGCAGCCACAGTTTAAACGTCTCCTTCTTGCTTTCCCTATCTCTGTAACCTCCTCCAATCCTACGACATCTCCTATCACTCTATCACCCATTCTGGCCTCTTGGGCATTGCTGGCTTTCATCAAATAGACAGCCCATATGGCTGGTTGCTGAGCCACTTTACTTTCAGAATCTCTGCAGCAATTTCTCTCTTCCCTTGTGCTGTTTTTAGGAACCTGAATCTTCGGCCAACATTTAGTCTCAGACATGCAGTGTCAGAGTAGGGTAGGCCACTTGGCCCTTCAAGTCCAGTCTACTGAAAAGAAAGTGGCTGATCTGATTACTCCACATTCCTGGTAACCCCTAGTGATCTTTTACACCCATGTCTCCCTCCTCTGGCTTATCAGGTATCTACCTACCACTGCCTCAAATACTGCGCTTCCACCACATTTAGAGGAGCAGATTTGCAAAGACTGAAGAGCCTCTGTGAGAAAAAGAAAGTTACCTTTACTTGTGTATCAAATGGTTGATTCTTCATTTTGAAACGATACCCCTGTTCTAGACAGTCACCTGACTTAATGAGACAACAAGGTGCAGAGCTGGATGAACACAGCAGGCCAAGCAGCATCATAGGAGCAAAAAGGCTGATGTTTCGGGCCTAGACCCTTCATCAGAAATCCGGATTCACCTGACTTAATATCTGCTTATGTGACTTAGGGCCTAATCTTTATTTTACACTTCTCTGAATCATTTTACAACATATTTTCTCTATGTTCAATGTACCAGATAAATGCAGTTTGCTATTGTATTACATTTAGCCCCTTTGAGTATATGGTATGGTGCATGATTTGCCTATTTGCTGATTTGTGTCTAAGCTGTAAGGAGATCAGTTGCCTAAGGCTCCTTATGAAAACATATCTGATAACGGGACCAGTGAAGTAAATTATTAAGCGCATCTGTCTTGATTTTTGCTCAGCGATAACTTCCTCACTCTTAGGACTTTCAGAATCAAAAACAGACCTGCAATGAAACTGTGATAGTCAGGTAGCAGGACAGAAGTTATACTGTGAGCTGCAAATTGATCTCTGAATGCCAAAAGAAAGGTCTTGATTGGCAGTGTCCTGGGAAGAGCATTTGTCCCTCATACCTGCAACCCTATGTAGCTCAGAGGGTAGCACCTTTTCTCTGAGATTAAAGGCTCTTACGCCCATTCCTACTACTTTGGTACAAAATCTGAGCAGATCCTGCAATGCGGAGGGAAAGCTGAACTGCAGAAAGCAAACAAGAGACAATAAACCAAGGCCCCATTTGCCTAAATTGGTTTTTGTGAAGAATCCCTGTGCATCTTTTAAAGAGGCTCAGGCAGGTTCTTCCTGGAGTTCTGGCCCATATTTATCCCTTCATCAATAAACAGACTATCTGGATATTATCACATTGCCGTTTGTGTGAGCTTGCCATATGCCAATTGGTTACTACATATCCTATGCTGCAGCAGTGACTGCACCTCAAAAATTAACTGGCTGTTAAATACTTAGAAATATTCAGCCAGCACAAAGGGCACTCTACAAAAGAAGGCTTCATTTTAAACCAGAATGTTGTTAGGTAGAGCAGCACTTCAAGATTGCTGAAAAGAAAATACATCTTGTCAATTCCCAAGGATTAAAAAAAGTAAAAAAACAAGGACAATTCCCAAGAAGTAAAAAAGAAGAAATATAACATTTATACTGTCTGTCAAGACGAGAGGGCTGATTATTGGCAAGTAGACTGGTTGGGAGGTGTTTGCAATGGAGGATGCACCAGATAAAGATGACTGACAGTGGACTGCCATGCTTTGTTTAAACTTTAAGCCAGGCAAGTTGATTGTGATTTGTCAAGACATTGACTTTGAGACATGAATCAGAAAATGGCTGTCATTTAATCTGTTCAGTTTGAAATAGGCATAAAGAGTGTATATGTTCTTTCTGTCAATGAAGAACAAAGCCTCTGGTTTAATGTATATAGCTTACAGTGAGCCTGACTGACAATCCTGAATCAGTTCTCAGTTTAATTCCTCACATACTTGGGATTATTTGGTAAATATTGTCCAGTTGCAGAAACATTTCTAATGTTGGACTCTGGTTTGAGTTTTACAAGCTCAGGTCAGTTGGTTACAGTCAGTTTCTCGCATGGTGTGAACAGTCAAAGGAATATTCTGCTTGGTAAGCACCTTGCAGCAATTGGTGATGATTTACATCAAAATATATCTTCCTCTCCACAAGTTCCTGAGCAGTTTATAAGTAAAACAACAAAGAAAATTCAAATACCTTTTCATTTTAGCAAAACTGGCCAATTATTTCATGATTGATGATGTCAAATGTTGTCCTCTCATGGTCCTGTTGGGACATTTCACTAGATGTAAAGACGATTACTGGTGTGAGCTGATGGATAAATGTTCATCAGCATTCACACATGAAGATATATTCTTCATGTTTGCATTACAGGATACACTGCAGCAATTTCTCAAGCCTCCTTCAGTAGCACCTTCCAAACCCATGACCATTTCCATCTAGAAGGACAAGGGCAGCAGATACATGGGAACACCACCCCCTGCAAGTTCCCCTCCGAGCCACTCACCATCCTGACTTGGAAATATATCGCCATTCCTTCACTGGGTCTAAATCCTGAAATTTCCTCCCTAAGGGCATTGTGGGTCAACTATGGGCTGCAGCAGTTCAAGATGGCAGCTCATCACCACCTTCTCAAGGGGCAAAACGAGGGATGGGCAATAAATGCTGGGCCCAGCCAGTGACGCCCATGTCCCACAAAAGAACGAGGCCACCAAGAATTGCAATAACCCTCTTGTGGCGCAGTGATAGTCTTACAGTCATGCGGATTGGAAAGGGACTCTTAGGCCCAGCTCCTCCATGCGGTCCCCACCTCTGGACTGGGGGCGGCTTGAGTTCAAGTCCCACCTGCTCCAGAAGTCATGATGTGGAGGTGCTGGTGTTGGACTGGGGGGGGTGGACCAGGTCAGAAGTCACATGACACCTGGTTATAATCCATCAGGTTTATTTGAAATCACAAGCTTTCAGAGTGTAGTCCCTTCATCAAGTGACTTCAGTGGCCTGTTTTGTCATTATTTTTGTGGCTCCTCTTTCTTGCTGGGGACTAGAGAAACTGGATGAATTTTAGAGGTTATGGAATGGACAACGGGATACATAACGTTAAAATATTGACTAGGGTGGCGACGCTTCACGTACCACTTTACTTGTTCATGACCAAAAAAGTGTACATAATTTGTGAAAAGGAATAGCAGTGCTCTGAAAGCTTGTGATTTCCAATAAACCTGTTGGACTATAACCTGGTGTCATGTGACTTCTGAGTTTGCTCTAGAAGTGTGTAATAACATCTTTCTGATTGGGCTGACTGGAAAAATATGTTAATTTTTTGAAACAAAATTAAAAATTAAGATAAATAAATCAAGCCCCTGGTACAGATGTAGAGGTGTGCAATCACAGCTCTCCTGAACAAGCTGATGAGAAAAATGGGTTAAATTAAAAGGAATTTTAAAACTTAAATTAATCGAGCCCTGGTACAGATGTAGAGGTGTGTTTTGACAGCTCTCTGAACAAGCTGATGAGAAAAATAGGTTAAATTAAAAGGAATTTTAAAACTTAAAATAAATTAATCGAGCCCTGGTACAGATGTAGAGGTGTGTAATGGCATTTCTCTAAACAGGTTGATTAGAATAATAGGTGAAATTTAAAAAAAATTAAAATAAATAAGTCGAGCCCTGGTACCGATGTAGCAGAATCTCTGCGCATTTGCCTTTTTTTTGCCATGCCTCATTCCCAGCTTGCTGTGTGAGTGGCTGGAAGTCTTTTTTGCAGCTTGGGTTGTTGTAGCTTTAAGAGCAGAGTGAATGTGATGCTTTTACGTCACCGTAATCCTTGCTGGCTTTGCCTGTTTCTCTCCATCTCCCTCTGTGTGTGTGTGTGTGTGTGTGGGCCGGGGCTCAGTGCATTGGCAAGTGGGCACACAGAGGAGAGTATGCCTTCTGGCTTAGAGTGAAGGGTGAGTCAGCTCCCAGCTAAACCCCTCCTTCACCCCCCCCCCCCCCCCCCCCCCCCCCCCCATCAGCAACAGCAGCAAAAAAAAACCCAGCCACAATGAGAGAGAAATCCAAGCTGTGATCACAGCCAGCGGAGAGGCTGCTCTGGGACAATTCTGCAGCAATCGCTGTGTGGACGAGTCCTTTTATAACTCTCTCTGCTCCTTGCCTTGCAGCTTGTGTTCCTGGCCACTCAGCCCCCCACCCCCCCCCCCCTCTCTCTGTTGTGAACCATCCCTCAAGGTGTTGCATTGCACTAGCCAGATGTGCTCTCACCTGCACCCTCTGCAGTTATATGGCTCCTGCAAGAAGAATCAAAACTTTGCTCACCGTCAACATTTTGTTTTTCCTCGGCATCGTGCTATTCTCGGTGTACTGCCGGATTTCCGAGCGTCCCGAGGAGTTGGTTCAGATCTCAGACACCAGACTTCGAAGCAGGACTGGCTCCCAGCAACTACTGAAGGACAGGGATAACATCCTGCAACGCCTGGACCATCTGGAAGATGTGGTTTACAACCAGCTCAATGGTAAATAAAACAAAATGATATGATTATTTTCTGAGAGTTGTAAATCTCCTGTGCTGTCAATTATCCAGCATTTCTGAAGGGACCTGAGCCACTCTGATAACTTTGGTAGGTGCTGCCCTGTCTCGGTAATTTCCAAATCCATTACAAGTTGACCCTTGACTGAGCGAACTGTTCAGAGATGTTCTAACACACCTCTAGAGCAAGTGAGATTGTGAACCAAAGGTCCGCCAGCTCAGAGGTAGGGACCCTGAGCTGCATTTACCAGGAAATCTCTGTACATCACTGTTCCAAGCTCAAATTGCTTCGGGCTGACTTGGTTTGAAATGAACAGGCAGGAGCTTGCATTTCTGAGGAAGGGTCACTCGACCTGAAACGTTAACCCTCGTTTCTCTCCGCAGGTGCTACCAGACTTGCTGAGCTTTTCCAGCAATTTCTGCTTTTGTTTCTGATTTACAGCGTCCACTTTTTTTTAAAATCGGTTTTTACTTAGCAACTTGCATTGCTTTAGCGCCTCTCACGACACCCCAGTTGGCGTGGTTGTCAGTGGAGCGCTCTCAGCAGTCCATGGTGGTAGCCAGTTGTGCACAGCAAGATCCCACAAAAAACGTAAGCAGATAGGGACCAGACCATTCATGATTTTTGTTTCCAAAGTGATGATGGTTGAGGGATGAATATCTCTCCAGCTCTTGCCAGATCGTCCTTTTGAGGTTTCACCCTCTCTGCCCAGCTGAGGGGGCCAGGGTTTAATATTTCTTCTGGCATTGAGCGCATACAGGGGCAGCATTGCTTTAGTGCTGGTCTCTATTTACCATGCTCAGATCGCTGGAGTGGGATTTGAATACACAATTTGCTGACCAGCTAGTGTGAGGAGGCTTTAAACCTCTCCATGTGCTTCACACAAGGTATTGAGCTGGGTGTAAGAGGGGAGAGAGGTAATGTTCCCATTACAGGGATTTTAATCTCTGCCCCTCTCAATGGTTGTGGTGTATGGGGTTGCTATGGAAACGGTAGTAAATTACCAAACCAGGCAAAGACTTTGAACTTTTTTGATTACACATGACTTAGCTTTGGGCAGTTGGGCATTTAAAATGCACCTCAATTTCGGAACGTGTTCCTGGATTTTCTTGTTTTATTGTTGCAACCTGTCCTCAAACATCTATGAACTTTGAGGTGGCCATTCCATGTTTCAAAGCTCTGCAGTGTGATTCTTACCGCAGTTTAATGTCAGAACCTCAGCTTAACTTGTGTGCTTGTGTTGAGGCAAGGCATTTGTATTGTATCAGAGCATTTAACGTTGCATTCCTGAATGACTGGCACTTTCCTCTTGGAAGCATTCAGTGAAGAGCAGATTGGATTTAGAGTAGGGAACCTTCTTTTCGTATTCATACCGTAGAGGAGATCATACAACTCCAAACCCTGTCTCCCGAACAAAGCCCTCTAATCCCTGTTCACACTTGCCTACCATGTGTGCCAGACTGACAGTGCCTTGGTTTTAAATTTGTGTTTTATCCTTCCCAAGCCTCATCCCTCCCTATCATTGTAAATTCCTCCAGTGACAACCCTCTGAGAACTTTGCCCCTACAAACCTGACCTCTTACAAATGCATGATTTTAATCACTGTGACATTGGTGACCATGCCTTTAGTTGCCAGAAGGCAATTCCCTTCTGAAATCTCTCCAGGCCCCTCTCTCTCTCCCTATCTCTCTCTCTGCATTTCTCTCTCTCTCCCTATCTCTCTCTCTCTCTCTGCATTTCACTCTCTCTCCCTATCTCTCTCTTT